AATGCTGATGTCTGCCAATTAGCTTCCGCATAAGCCTTCTAGTGCTTATTTGAGTGCTTGTTAAACCTTGAGTTGTCGATGTCATTTCCTCGGTATGCCCATTTACCGGTTTCTTGGTGGTGTACTGTACGCCTTGGCTGCTACACGTTGGGTAAAACTTCAAGTGGGACAGTCTATTTCGTGAAATAAATACATGCAAAAATTGGCTTAGAGACTTTGTGAGCTGGTGCGTGCCACCTTCCTTGATAGGGGCCTTGGAATTGTTTACACCGACGTTTCGTGGCCTTAACAAACGGCGCAGTATTCTTACTGAGTAACCGTAAACCACTGAAGCGCCACACAACCAATTCCACAGTAAACCAACCACAGAAACGTAACCGCCTTCTACTAGAAAGCATAGCTCAACCAGTCAGCGCTAAGCAATCCCTAAGGCTGCAACGAACTGTCGCTTTCATCCAGGGGAGCATATTGATTTGAGCACAATCCAGCTCAAGGTCAGTGGTAACACTGAGTACAGATATAAAACTGCATGCTACTCGAAGATTCAGAGTCTGCTCTTATAAATCCCATCCGGCCAAGTTAAACCGTCGAGTCAACGGGAAGAAGACCCTCGGAAATCCCAACAGATCCTTTTGGACCCCTTAAATAATGAAGCATCAAGGAGAACCCAGATAATATGCGTGCAGAAACCCATTCGTGAACAGGTTTATTCTAGTTAACTAATCAAGCATGGAGAGTGTTATTCGATGGGACCAAGGGCGACATGTTATTAGGAATATAGGCACACCAGATGGATAAAGGTTGGCAGTGGCGGTTGAGGATTTGTTTAATGCTAATGCCCCTGTATTCAGAAGTTCGAATATTGCAACCGGCTACTAATCGGCACCTCAATAGCACTTTTAAGCTCGCTCAGTAATATTCGACCAGTTTTCGCACAGTGCTTCCAAAACAGCCTGCTGATTACAACACGACAGGCGCAACGCCAAATTCCAAAACTACCAAAAGCAGTAACGGGTAAGCAAAAACACTTCGGTTCATTGGATGAAACGGTCGCAGCAAGTGCATGGAAAAGGCGTATACAGGCAAAGCCTCAAGGAAGAAACAATCACAATGGAGTGATTCCTGCAAGGTTGGGAAGCAGTAACGGGGGACTCACAGTTTGTACACGTTGTCGTTCGGAAGGCAGGTTTCTTGCCTGCGCTCCCCCTGATTCAAACATAATTACTTAAGTAAACGTTTATTTTTGACAATGCGGAGCACACGTTTACAGGCATGCTCACGATACGCCAATATAATGTGATGGAAGCGGTACAAAAATAAATGTTTGACATGACAGTGAATGGGTGTATGGGCGCACACATGTATAAAATTATGTATGTATGTAGCTGTGTAGCCTGGGTTTTTGAAGGTGTTGCAGCATTTTTACTGCTTGTACTCGTCAGGAATGTGAAAATGAGTTATTAATGTCCGTGCGTTGGAGAGCATCTTCTGGATATCCACGATGCGGTTACTTTAGTTTGTGGCGAACTACATCCATTAGGAAATATCCCAAATAACGGTTTCCTTCACTATGGCCAGAACCAATGGTTTGGCCGTGTTCAATAATGGACAAATACTTCTCAGGTACCACACATCCGGAGCAGATCCCACTAATTTACCGTCCGTATGGCTGTGAATGCCAATGTACCCAATCAATACAACGTACACCGGGAGGACTTCTGGTACCTTATTCCGGACAACTTGCTACACTTTTGGTTATGAACAATTGGATTTGGCCAATTTCCGTGCACCAATAATATCTTAGTAAAGTGCACACTTTAGCCCCATATTATTTTGTATAGTCTCCGGAGATATTAAGCTGTACTTCAGACGACAAATGGGCACTATTCCAAAAATGTTCAACTCATGGTTTACAAACCGGAAGTGCCGTGCAACTTCGTCTGAAAGTAGCATGACCCACGGATGAAAAGTTTCACACCCATCATGCAGCAACCGGCGGAGAATATGAGTTTATCATGACTGCGGCTAACAGGATAAATAGTCGAGCAAAAAGCAGCATTGCCAGTTACAGTTTGTCGTTCGAATGGATCACTTAAATGTTCCAGGACGCGGTGGATTTTCGCCTGGCATGCGTTCTCCTTATAACAGCCACTAGATCCGTTTAAAAGCAAGGCAACATGGCAGATGTGACTCGCAAGCGAATAAAGTTACAGCCCATTACTTCACTCAGACATGCTAGCTAAGAACGCATATCGCAATGGTTGATAAGCTCCGACACATTCCTACTTGCGTAATTTGTCGCCAAGTCACTTTCTGCGCTTTCACCGTTCTTCTGTACACTGCATACAAAAATCCAGCGGATCGCGTAACCACGGTTGATCTTGTTCTTAACTAGTTCATTTCTAATTGCTCAGCTCTATTGCTTGCCCTATTCGTGGTTGTATTTTTATTGCAATTTATGGCAAACCGTCTACGCTCATCCAAACACGCTCGACATCACGACCATAGGATTTATTCATATTTAATTCTGTCCTATTCCTACAGTTTCCACCATGAACGACTGAACAATCTACTATCTGTACTGCTACCATTGCTATGAAACTTCGGTACAAATGCACTTGTTGGATCATGCCTTCGTGGGCATGCCTCGCACAGTCAACAGTGAAATTTTCTTTATTAAGTTATTTACTGATTTGGGGCCACCACCGCGCGCCCGCAAGAAGACCTCGCGATAGCAAATTGTAATCTCCACAAACTCTGGAACCAAAAGTTACATCAGCACCGTGCCAACAAGTCCGGGTGGATACCCGTGTTCCTTTGCCCACAACCAATAACAAGCACTTCTTCATAACCTTTAGCTAGATTATTTCAAATAGTAATGTGCTGCAACCCATGTCATGCGCCAAAACGCACCCACAGGAGCTTTCGACTTTATCAACGTGTGGGCACCCCGTTACGGTGCATTGTTAACGTTGCATTCGCAGTACAGAACGGTTTTGAGAGCAATCTGCTGCAAGAATGATGTCTCATTTTAGCCATTAAAAAGACGCAAACTACGCCTTATATTCCACAAGTTAACGGAGCCTTTGTGCGAACAAGCATGACTATCGGGTCTGTACTGAAAATCTTTCTAGAAGACCGTCATTCAAAGACGTGGGACCAAGCATTGTCTCAATTCCTGTTTGCCTGTCGTGCGTCGGGGCACTCTACGACGGGCTGCTCACCGACTAACCCTACTCCTGTTATTTTTTCTTGTTGGTATTGCGTCACAGCAGCTGAAATGTGTGCACCTGCGGCTAACACGTATAAAGATGAGGATGCTTACGCTTTGATACGAGGACGGATTACCTTTGGAGTGACTACAGCTGGGCTGCCTCGTTGAAGCTTACTCCCTGTTTGCGGTTATCCGAAATATTCGTCATGGCCACCCCTCAGCCTTCAGAGGCGTACAAGTGCACATGAAGAAAGTGAAACAGAAGGAACATTGTGACCGTAAAGCTGGCGCCCCTGAGGACAGAAAGTGCAACCGTGTGTGGCTACATAGGCTGCAAACCCCACTTGTTGCAGAAGGAAAATTCCATCGCGGATGGCTGGGGCCGTGTAAGATCGCATTCTATCGTTTACCCGCCGCGTTTGTGCTTCGAAGCGTTACAGATCCGGGAGGCAACATTTTGGCCGTTCATCACAACCAAGTTAAACTGCTGAAAACGTCGTTCAGTTCCATGCCTGTGAACGCAATTATGACAACCGGTTGCCTACCTTTAGTGGAACGGATTGTCGAAGTACCGCTGAAAGTGGATCCGCGAGTACGCTTGATATGTTTTCACTGCGGACAGTGCCCTGTTTGGAGGACGAGCAATAAAGCGCAATAGAAACGGTAGCAGTTTATTCAGATTAATCACTGCCCATTATGTTCTTTCCATTTTGTTCTTACAGATCCAGGTAGGTCAGCTTAACTGGGTGAACGGATCGAACGACCCTCTTGTTTGACTGACTGGAACGCTTGTGTTTATGTCGACCAGCTTGTCGTTTCCGTTCTTTCTACATTGTAACCGATCAACATGTTCTGGCTGACCGTTCGTTTTACTTCCTGGTCCGGAGTCTGGCGTTGCGCCTGTACATCGGTTTGATACACTAACTCGTTCCTCAATTCCTCCGTGTGCAGTGTTACGTCTGAACTGTGTGCTCACTTTTTAGACTCCACTGCCAATCCAACCCTTGAACATTCACTCCCAAAATCGTTAAAAATTGGCGTTGCAGGCAGTTTGGAATATGAGCACAGACAAGAACTGTCTACCAAATGTTTAACCGCTCGTCCGCGAATTTGGTATCTACACATGTTTCCCTTCGGCTGCCGTTAGTTTTTAATGGTTAGCCGAGCAACCCCTTTCCCGACGTGCCAGCTGCGTGGTTCGGGTGGGACCCGTTCCAGCAATTAATTAGGCGGCATCGTGCCAGGCGGTGACGGGGTTATACCTGGCAAGCGGCTTTTCTACAAAAGGTCACATACGTCCGTTTATCAACACTGTGACCTGGCGCATGTGGCTTGCCACAAAATAAAGTGACTGCTTGTTGCTATCTATATAATTATATAACATCCACGGACAGCTATCTTTACATTGCCGACGACATCCAACAGCCACAAATGCAACCGCACACATTCAAGAACACTCTACAAAGCTACACGTATACACCAGTAAACACACATCCATACACACATTGACCGTTTTGGGAAACATGCATTTTCGTACATTTTTGTTCACATATTTTATCTTAGCTTGCTTCTGCCTTTAAAGCTGTGCCACGCGGTTTCAAAACTAAAATTTTGGTTAGTAAATTATTGAGTTCCAAGACTGGCGTTATCGAATCATCTCCTACCACTCCGGCCTTCTGGAGAACTGCGTCGGCCCTTCGCACTTACGCGTTTAAGCGATTAGGCTATCCGATTTTTCCATAATACCGGTTTTCCCGCTACTGCGCCATCTAAACAGATTTGTGCTATGCTTGGCGAGCTTTTTTACAATGATTTTCTTCTGTGGGTGCAAAGGAAAAATGCTCACGTGTCTTCACTTACCATCAGTGACATTGGACTCCTTCGAGCACTGAGCAAGCGAGCAGCGCAGGCCTTCCCTGATTTGCTGTACGGAGAACAGGAATCTTGTATATGCAGTCGGTCCTCAATTGGTAGTAACAATGTCTGTTTGTGGGATAGATCCACCATCACCCTTTCCTCGAGCCCGGCGGAAGCGCTGGCAAAGGCTAGTGACCACGAGTTTTTGGAAGAAAGGCACACCGTTTGCTGCCCTGCGGAACATGAGGCTAATGCAATTACGCAAAAACGTTTACTGAAACCTATAACACTCAGAAGTCCGAACCTACCTGGAACCGCTGCCGCAGTAGTCACATACACGTAATGCCGCCATTTTGGCGCACACGCTGCACAATGTGGGAACAACCAACCGAGCGTTTCCCATAAATCCAAAATAAGGACAACACCGTTTTTCACACATTTGAACATCCTCCCTTGACTTTAGTTCCTTTTATAGTCTCTTGACTGTGGTGAAGCGCTTAAGTGGTTCACCGTACCTCTTTGATTGATACAGGGACGTCGAACTTTCTGTTGCGCACCGAGATCGTCCGCCTTCTTTTGAACCACGGAGCATTAATTGGCCAACGACCTCGAGTGCCCACCATGAATGGAGCCTAGCTGCAAATAGTTTTCTCTTTGACAGCACGTTTGGCTCAATTGGGTGACCACTGTCCATGAATTTAGTATGTCAAAGTGTAAGGTGGGTCTCTATCCTCGGTATGGATTTCTCGTCACGGCACGCATGCCTTGTCATCTTTTATAAAGGGAACGTTTCGTAAAGAACTGCGGTTTCTGACAGCAACCGTAAATCCATATGAAATGGGAATTACCCGGCCGCGTTTATTGCTTTGACAACTTCGCGGTTTGAAGCGGAAGTTGTAAAAGCGCTTTGTGTACCGCCAAACACCAACACATGCCCCAAATGCTTAATTGCTTTGGGTGCTGCGTGAGTTTAAAGCGGATTCTTTGATTACTGGTCCTTGCGGCTGCACGGACATCACGCAACACGAAAGTGCTACTGTCTCCTTTCAACTTGTTGGCCATCGTGCATACATGTTACTCGTCCATTATGAACCTAAGTTATAAATGTTGATCAAAGAGATGCTTGATAAGGGCATCCTTTCATCTTCCGCATCGCCATGGGCCTCACCGATCTCCCTAGTAAAGAAGAAAGCCGAGGCTTTACAGTTTTGGATTGATTACTGTAGGCTTAATGAGATAACTCGTAAAGCTTCTTTCCTTTTACCTCGTACTGACGCCATATTAGATGCCCTCCAAGGTGCGCGTTGGTCCTCGACACTGGATCTGTTGTCCGGGTACCATCAAATATAAGTGAGGTCAGCAGCTTGCGAAAACCTGCCACTGTACCCAAAGGTCTCTAGGAAATCGAAACAATGACTTTTGGTTTAGCTAATGCCCCGGCGAACCCAGCGGTTAATGAACAAAACGCTAGATGGCTTGACACTGGCGAACTTTCTAATTTACCTACAGGATATACATGTCCGTGGAAGATCTATGGATGAACATAATCGGCGAACGCACCTCATGCTGGATAGACTACGGGCGGCCGACTTAAAATGGTGGGGCTCTAAATGCTTATTCCAATAAGATGAAGGTTATCACCTAGTGCACATTATCTCACATCAAGCTTTAAGAAACCATCCGGCTAGATGCGAACAAATAGCCACGTGGTTTCAAACTACTACGGTTAGCGAGCTTAGGAGCTGTTTGGGACTAGCCCAATGCTACAGGTGGATTATTGCGGCAAACTTATTTATCCGCTCTTTCGTCGTACATCCACAAGCGCTACAGTAAGGCTCGAACTGCCTGCAGATGGCCACTGTGAGGCGCTCGATTTTAATATGAAGCTCCGCTTATGCGTTCAGTCTAGTGCAATCCAATACGCTTTTTCGCTTATGTCAACTAGCGAGGCAATCTAAATAGGTTTATCCGGGGTTGTTTAGTGCTGACAGTTCTGTTGTTGTCACAACTTATTACAAAGCTTGTTTATTCGAGGAAGAATCTGCAGGTGCTTTTGCTCGAGTGTCTCAGATCCAGCAAATTAGTCAGCAGGCGACGTTTATGAAAGCCCTCACCCAGGGGTGGTTCCCCTAACAGAAGCTCAAGTGTTCCGGCTTCCGGGGTGCTAAAGCCAAATATAGCTGCTGGGTTGAATACCATTCAACGTAAACTGTTGTACGATTTGGATGACCCTTTTCCATCTGATTTTGCATCAGTTTGAGCTGTTTTTACAGCTTTTTTCTACCACAGATTGGAAAGAGGCTATGGTGTGTCCGATTGTGGAAATGTTGACAAACCTCAACGTAAAAACTATAGACCGCTCAGGTTGACGAGATTACTGATCGAGCAGTTGAATAATTAGTATGACCCTCGAAGTACGTGCTAGACCTGTTAGGTTGCTCAACCCGGCTCAACACAGCCTCCGTAAGGGTCATTTTTGCTCTGCTGCCTTGCTTTTTGCTCGAGAACATTGGGCCGGATCGGTCGAGTAAGGGAAGACAGTGATGTTTATTGACTTTTCCAAAGCTTTTGACAACGTTCTGCGTTCGCGTCTTTTGTAGAAGCTGGATGTTACGGATTGCTGGAATTATCTTACGATGGATTTAATCTTTTCTAATCAGGATGGAGATGAGTACTCGGGTAAGTACTAGCCTGCGCTTTCGACACTGCGTCCTCAGTGGCTCCCGCCGAGTACAGTAGCCGGCCCACTTCTCTTCCGTTAACACGTTAATGAATTACTTGATCAGCTGAGAGTGCCATCCCCAATGGTTGCGGCCGACCTAATGCTTTGGTTTACAATAAAAGATCCGAATGCTTTACTGATTCTACAAAGAGCGCTGGATGGACGTTGGGATTGATCTTTTTATGCACTGTCATTTAAGCTTGCGAAATATTCAGTAAACAGGTAGGACCAAGTTACCCACCGAAGGGTTAGTCGCTTGATAAAAACAGTGTGCCGCAGGTGCAAACCCAGGCAGACCTAAGAGTCTTGCTGCTGCCTGAAGTTAACTCCAGTATATGTTGGACAGCAGCTGCTCACACAGGAGTCGGCATGTTGTGGATGATCTGGAGGTCATTCGAAGTCATGACGACTGAAATCTTCGTTAAACAATTTTCGGCTTTCGTAAGGCCACACTTAGAATGCTGCGTACAGATTTGTCACCATATTTCGTTCGTGAAAGAATGGCAACTTAACGGGTCTTGCGGTCTGGGACAAAAATGGTGCTTGGGTTAAAGAAGTTGCGGTACCCTGATAGGCCACGTAAGTTGTGTATGCTTTCCGTGCATTACAGGCCAGCTAGTGAAGGCTTGGTCCTCGGATGTGGCATATTGATGCGTTTGGCTGTTCCTGAGTTACCCAGCCTGCTGCACAAAACTCGACTGCCAACCCACTAAATTTGCACATCACCAGTGCTGACAAGTTTGTGACAGCTTTACGGTTGGCGTGTAGGGTCATAGGTTATTAGAGCGAGCTGCTTACAGAAATAGTGACGGCACCGACATTGAAAGGGTTCGAACATAAACCCAACGCACTTGGTCTTCAGATTAAAACATTTACTTTCATTCCTTAAGATTTTACGCATCTATTATGGCAACCTTCTCAATAATTCATTTGCATTTACATCAATCTTACTGATGTAATTACGTAAGCTTCCTTTTTCTGTCATTTTTGCTATTTTTCTTTTAATAACGTGACCGGCACAGCGAGGACTGCTAGTTTGGGGCAAGTAGGCTTTGATTGACTGACCAGGTGATTCGCGTGTGTTAAGCTGGCTGGCTTTAAGCAGTTCAATCCAGCGCATTCCCTGCGGCTCAAAACCGAATTCGGAGGGGACATTCACGAGACCTTTCTACTATTCCGTTCGTACTTGAACGTACACTTGAAATTCTCACATTCAACTTGTCTAACGGAAAAGAGAGCGGAAGTTTTGCTGGATTAGTGAATGTCAGGTTGCTATCATGAAGTTAAACGAAAGTCTTACAAGGCATCCAACCTCAGCCCTTCTGGACATGTTGCAGGAGCCGAAGGAATTGTAGAGGACTGCTAACAAATACGTTCGAGTGGGGAGGCAAATGACTAGCTAAGAACAAGTGCAAAATAAAAGGACAATCGTGTTAGCCAAACAACCTCTTCGTCGTGCCAGCTGTGTGCTTCAGGTGTAATTCGATCCAGCAAATGGTTAAGCGACAGTGTTCCAGGAAGTAGTGGAAGTTCGCCTGTCAAGCCTTCTCCCTATAAACGGCCATATTTAGCCGTTTAAAAGCACTGTTACTTGGCGGACGTTATTCGCCACAATAGAAAGTCACTGCCTCTTCCATTTTCCGGAGGATCATTCATACATTACCAATGTCATCCGCTTTGAACGATTCTTTTGTTTCTTTCCTCTGCTGGTGCACCCAGCAAACAGAAACACACACCGAGTTACATTTACATACTCGCACACATGGCTACCTTTAACTACACACTTAAGTATACCTCTACATGATAACACACGCATGAATTCCTATGCTATTGGTCGAAAGGTAATATGTTGTGCAATTTTTCATCACACATGTCAGTAAGAACATGATCATGCTCTTGATGGTGTACCTTGCAATTATGCGAATAAATTATTTAGCTATTTATGTATAGTACCTCCCGTCAATGTTCCTTTGATGCCAACTACCGATTCGATATTAATCCAATACTGGAAAGATGAAAAAGCAGCATAAACACAGTCCGCAGCAAACGACAACAGAATACCTACCGGCTGATAGTCCCTTGACAGTGTTGCTCACAGTCACCGTGCCTACCGTGCCCGCCAGTTGACAGTCCTCTGAGTCACAAAATAGCCGCAAAGGAACATATTTGGGACTATCAATGGATTTTCGGATAAATTTTATGCACCGTACCTTCATTGCTTTGTGTTCAAGTCTCATCGGCGGTTAGCGTTATAAGATCCGCTACCGTGCTGCTGACATGCGTTTGCGCGCTTTAAGCGTACAAGCCCTAACTTCGTTTCCGATGTGCCTTGGCTTCCACGCGGACCTCAGTGGCATAGTGCTTATGGCGACAACTATGAGCCACTAGACTCTGAGTTCCAGCCCAGCTCAGGCTACCTCTACCTGAGGTGTCCAAACCAGGACGAAACGGCAGTTGTGGGGTGCCATTATTGGGATGAACGATACCAGAATGTTTCCATTTTACTTATGGTCTTTGTGATCGGAAGGACCGAGGTCCACCTCAAGTGAACCAAGGTCTCAATGGAGGTTGCTTTTAGCAACCCAACCACACAGCGGATATCCCAAGTCCAACTTTGAATT